GGGGGGCTTGCCGGCCCTGCTGGGACGGCGGTTGGGTGGGGATGGGCGCCAAAACAACCATGCCTGCACAGCACGCGCCGCGCCGCTGCGTGCCGCGCGGTGGCAGGGGCTGGTCGGGGAGCGGCGGCCGGGGAGGCGTGCGGCGCCAGCTGTGGCGGGTGCCGGTGGCCTCTGCACAGAGCGGCGTGCCGTGGCCTCGAAGACACACATGCATCCGGTACACACATAAACACACAAACCTTTCTCAAACACACACATACACACACAAATACACACACACATTCTTATGCACATACACACACTCACACACACACACACACACTGACTCATGCACACACAACAACACATATACACACACCAACACATACACACACACACAGACGAGACGCTCCCTGTCAAGGCCCCCCCCCCCCCCCCCCACCTGTCGTCGGCCTTGCGAGGACCCCCGGGTGAATTCATCATGAGAACATTCATGACCTGCCAGGGCGCATGGCGTTGGCAGAAGATACTTTGGAGATATTTCGCAGCAGGACACCTCGCACGGTTGGTCAGTTGCAGAGCGCAGGAAGCGCTGGTGGGTGAGGATGCACCGGGCAAGGCTGCTCGCCAGCCAGGAGTAGGGGGGCACGAGGCGCGGGGCGCGTCGGGCTCCCGCGCAAGCAGCCGGGCGGTGCCCCGCGCCGCCGCTGGCGCCAGCGGAGGGGGCACCGGCGGCGCGGCGCGGAGCCCGGCGGAAGGGCGGACACATGCCAGCCCGGCGCGCCCAACGGTGGGCTCGCGGCCGACCTCGGAATCAACGCACAGGCGTGTTCCGGCTCCTCTTCCAGAAGATCGGCCCAAGCCAACGGCGCTGGCTACAACCCCTGCCGCTGCGCTCCCAACTCTGGCCGCGCCCCGCGACGCGCCTGCTGCACACCACCCACCCTCCTCCGGGCCCCCCTCCTCCCAGCCATGCAAGGGGCGACTCGCTGACTGAGCAAATCTGCACCCCCCCCCCCCCGGGGGCAGTACTCCCCGTTTTCCCATCCACACAGCCTGCAGACCAGGCGGCGGGCACCCCTTTCCCCACCTCCACACACACACACTCACCCCATTGCTTGTGAATTTATTGAACCGCCTCTCCCCCACGGCAGTTTTTGTGCTGTCAGTGAAGCTGCGCCGCGCGTCGCAACATGTCAGAGAGCAGCAGGGGAGGGTCGGAAAGGTCGACCCTCGGAAAGCTGGGGGGGCGGGGGACAGACAGCTGACGGCTTCATGAAGCGAATTTGGGACAATTGCAGGGCCACGCGGGCGTCCCACAGCGCGCGTGTGCTCTTGCACAACAGGAGGATGCCACAGCAGCCGCTAAAGCGGTTGATTCTGCTGCCGTTGCTGCTGCTGCTGCCGCTGCTGCCGCAGCCGCTGTTGGTGTGGCTGCTGCCGATCGTGGTGAGGGTGTTGAATGGTGGCCGCATCACATCTGCGAATACGAAGTGCGCCGCATGCGCCGGCCACGCCGGGCGGCGTGGCCGTACGCTTCATCAATTCACTGTAGCAGCCCCCTCAGCCCACCTGGCGTAGCAGCCGGCGCAGCGGCGGGGCCCGGGCTTGACGACGAATGTGTCGTAAAGGTACCTGCCAGCGGGAGGTTACAGAAAACGGGCGCGGCGGCGACGCAAATGCCTCCGATCAGACTTGCTCGAGAGGGGGGGTTGAGGACGGGCGCCCCGGCGGGGGGCCCTGCTGTTCTGGTTGTCTCGCACCCTCCGGCTGCCTTTGCGTGTTGCGCTGTCAGATCATTCCCGTGCCGCTTGGGCTGCTTGCCGCTGCTTGCTGGGAGCAGAGTCTGCTCCTGCGAGATGCCTTGGGCGGGTGCAACGCGACGCCCACCTTAGGCACTGCTCCGGCTCCAGCTCGTCTGGAACGCGCACGTTCTGGAAGT